CCCTATAGAAACATCCTATAGGGGATGGGAACCCTATAGATCCCATAGGGGAACCCTAAATATCCTATAGGGGATGGGAACCCTATAGAAACATCCTATAGGGGAACCTATAGAGCCCCGGCACACGCCGGCCCCTACACATCCTATAGGGGATGGGAACCTCTAAACATCCTATAGGGGATGGGAACCTTTAAACATCCTATAGGGGATGGGAACCCTATAGATCCTATAGGGGCACCCTAAATATCCCATAGGGGATCCCTAAACATCCTATAGGAAAACCCTAAACATCCTATAGGGGATGGGAACCCTATAGATCCCATAGGGGAACCCTAAATATTCTATAGGGGAACCTTAAATGTCCTATAGGGGATCTATAGGTCCTGTAGGGGATCTAGAGATCCTATGGGGGATCCCTAAACATCCTATAGGGGAACCCTAAATATCTTCTAGGAAATCCCAAATCCATATAAGGGATCCCAAATCCCCTATGGAAAATCCCAAATCTGTAGAAAATCCCAAAGCCCTTACAGGAAAATTCTAAATTCCCCTATAGAAAATTCCCCTATAGAAAATTCTGAATTCCCCTATAGAAAATCCCAAATTCCCCTATAGAAAATCCCAAATTTCCCCTATAGAAAATCCCAAATTCCCCTATGGAAAATCCTAAATTCCCCTATAGAAAATTCCCCTATGGAAAATCCCAAATTTCCCGTGGGAAGGCCCCGGATCAAAGGCCAGGTAAGGAGGGAAAATCTTGGAATTTTGGGGGGGAAAAATTTGGGAATTTTGGGGAAAAAATCCTGGAATTTTGGGGGGAAAAATTTGGGATTTGGGGGAAAAAAAAAAGAATTTTTGGGGGTAAAATCCTGGAATTTGGGGGAAAAAATTTGGGGATTTTGGGGAAAAAATTCTCGAATTTTGACCAAAAATCCCTTGGAATTTTGGGGGTAAAATCCTGGAATTTTGGGGAAAAAATTTTGGGATTTGGGGGAAAAAAATCTGAAATTTTGGGGGTAAAATCCTGAAATCCTGGAATTTGGGGAAAAAATTTTGGGATTTTGGGGGAAAAAAATTGGAAATTTTGGGGGAAAATCCTGAAATTTTGAGGAAAAAATTCTGGAATATTGGGGAAAAATCCCGGAATTTGGGGGGAAAAAATTTGGAATTTTGGGGTAAAATTCTGGAATTTTGGGGGGAAAAAAAAGGGATTTGGGGGAAAAAAAATCTGAAATTTTAGGGGTAAAATCCTGGAATTTGGGGGGAAAAATTC